AGGACTCCCTAAAAGTTGGGTCAGAAGAGGATTATCTGAGTGGGTAAGGGGGCATGTTCTGTGATGGCTTGAGTCCTAGACCCTCTGTGGTTGTGTGCTGTTGCTGGTGAGGAGGCCACTGACTTCATTCTTGCTCTTTAAATGGGTCTGGAATTCAGATCATGGGGGAGTGAATTCGGGCTTTTCCAGTTGGCCTTGAATGTGCTCAGTGGTTTGTGGCAACATGAAGCAGACCTTTCACAGTTGTGCATTTCATTCACTGGTAGAGGGAATAGAAATTGCTACAGTTTTTTAGAGGGCAGTTGGTGGGATACACCAAAATACAAATTGTGAGATGTGTAGCTAGCAATTCTGCTATGGATTTACTCAAGGGACATAGTGGGGTAAGAGTGCAGATCAATATAAGTGCTCATAGAGGTTGGTCACCTTTGTGTTTTTAATCATGAACAATTGGAGATAACAGTAAGGAAAGGGCCACATTATAGCCCTCTGTGGTGCAACATGTCATGCAGCTGTGAAGTGAGAGGAAAGCTCTACTTGTCCAGGTTGTCCAGAAAGTACAAGGAGCATAGACCAAAGTTCTGGTAACAGGTGTTGTGGTGCAGGAGTAGGTCGGGCCTCTGCTGGATGTGATTTTTCAGGGTTACTGTCTAGTGTGACAGACTGCCTGACAACAGCAACTTAAGGGAGGAAAGATTTATTTTGGCTCATGGTTTCACAGTTTCACTCATGAAGGAAAGCATGGTGGGGCAGCTCAGATCATGGCAGCAGGAGCGTGTGCACATCACAGTGGACCAGAGATAATAGATTCCTAAGAACCAGCCCTCAATGACAGCTTCCTCTACATAGGCCCCACTTCTAACAGCTCCACAGCTTCCCAAAATGATGCCACCAGCTAGGGACCAGGTACTCAAAGCATGAGCCTGTGGGGAACATTTCAGATTCAAAGCATAACACCCACCACAAAGAATGTAATGTAAATGGTACTTCCACAATTTGCTCAGTAGGGAGATTTTGGGATATGCATTCAACTTTTTATTTTATGAATATAGGTATATTATCTGACCCCTTTTTTCAGGTGAAAAGCACTTAATAATATCTTAAGTTTTTAAAATTGGCTATGGTCACTATAATATTCAGGGGTAGCTCATGGGAATGCCTTGGTATTAGGAACATTTGGCCACCAACACTTAATTGCTGGTCAGTCAAGAAGGGATTGGGTTCCAAAGGACATTTGGGGACACAAATTTTGGCTTGATAGGCCTTAACATATATGCTATAGAAGAGGTGCAAGTAAAGGAAGGGGTCTAAATATGGTCAAAATATATTGCAAACTCAGGCAGACAGTAATCCAGCATAGAACTGGGAAAATGAACAGCAGACCCCAATCTTATCTGAAGGAATGTTGGCAACTGATTGCTGCTAGATGAGGAAGAGCTGATCTTCCTAAAACAAGGGACTCTAGATAGGTTGACTAGACTCAGTGGACTGACTTGCACTGGGGAACGGCTGGCGGCACTGACAACACAGTGGCCTTAACAGGGATGACAGAGTATATTGGCTCCAGTAAGGGGGGTAGACTATGGAAGAGTGCCAGTGGGGACAGGGGGCGGGTATAAAGATGATCAAGATTGTTTGAGATGCTCTGTACGAAATGCTTTGTAAATTCAGTCTTCCCAAAGCAATTTATTCACTTCTTTATCTTATGATTTAACTGTTTGTATCCTGAATTCTGTATTATGTTTCAAATTTTCTTTGTAACTACATTAAAACCATCCCTTAAAATAAAAAAAAGGAAATTTCAAACATTCAATAAAACTAAAACCAGAAAAAAATAAGGGATTGGAAGTCCTTGTTAATGTAGATGCTAAACCTGATGAGGAGAATCACTGTTCTGATGCAAGGGGTCAACTCTGAATTTGCAGAATTCAGAGAGACTGGTTTCTGCCTTTCGACACCATCTCTGCATCTACTCGGGATTCAGCAAGTCTAGAGCCCACTCTTTATTTTCTCATTCAACCCAGAAAGTTAAATGATCTCCTGGGATAAAATTCTAACTAAGTATGTATAACTTCTTGACTGTTATAAGCAGAGAATATTTATCATAGAAGGACCATTTTCCAAAATTTTTTTATTACTAAGTATTTTATCTTGCTGTCACTATTAGGTGAAATCTTTGAGCAGAAAATGAATACTTGGAATAGTTAGACCCAGTCACATGTTACACTGGGTTAAAAACTTAATGTGTGGACATCAGAATTTGCTCAGCAGCTTTGGCATAGCCATACAAATTTAATAATAACTGAAGTTAATTTTGCTGGTGAAATATGAAGGGAAAATGTCCAAATTTTAAATTATTCATAGAATTAAAATTTTAATCCCAAATTCCCTTAGTTTTTTCTATAGTTTCATATTGAAAGTTTTTAATATTCATAAAACTGAGAAAGTCTTAACTCATTTTAAAACAGATTCCTGTGACATTTATTCTGAAACAGTGTTGTGCTGTGTATCCCAGGCTGGTTTCCCGCTTCAGCCTTCTGAGTACTGGGATTTGCGGGTGTGTGTCTTCATGCCCACCTGGTTAATAATGCTTCTAATTGAGTAGTTAGGTACTCACAATCTTCTTTAATTAAAGCTATAATTTCCATGGTATTCTGTGTGTACTTAAAAATTATTTATTACTTTTATGTGTATGTATGTTTTGCCTGCATGTGTGTAAGTGCACTGGTGTCATACAGTGCCCACGGAGGTCAGAAGAGGGTGTTGGATCCCCTGGAACTGGAGTTACAGACTGTTGGTAGCCACCATGTGGGTGCTAGGAACTGAACCCAGGACCTCTGCAAGAGCAGCTAGTGCTCTTAATCTCTGAGCCATCTCTCCAGCCCCTGTATGTACTTGTTTGTTCTTGATTATTGTGAAATAAACCATGAAAATAAGTCATGAAAGTCACCTGCTTCCTCCTTTCCTTATAGCAATTTTCTTCTCACCAAAAGTTCTGATAATGAAAACAGGTTAAGAAAAGACACATATGTTATTTTAACAGTGTCGTTCCTCATCAGAGATGGACTATATTACATCTTTACTCTCTAAACAACTTCGAAAAAAAATTGTGATTTAAAAAATATATCGGAGGCCGGTGTGGTGGTACACGCCTGTAGTCCCAGCACTTGGGAGGCAGAGGCAGGCGGATCTCTGTGAGTTCAAGGCCAGCCTGGTCTACATAGTGAGTTCCAGGACAGCTGGGGCTATAGGGAGTATAACTCAGACACACACACACACACTATGGCGTAGGTGCCCTCTCACAAAATATATGTAATTTAAAAAAAAAAAGAAACAAAAAACACCACAAATATAGATTACTAGGAAGTGTGATATAAGCATTACTTTGTAGATGTGATTTGTGTGTCCTTGAAAGTGGTTGAGAAAGGTGTGTTGTTGAACTCTTCATAGCCAGAGCAATATTTTAGAAATCTTTAACAGTTGTTCAGCAAACTACCAGTTGGTTAATCAGTGTGGATTGACAGAATCCTTAGAGGCTACTGTCTCCACAGGGCAGGTGTGGTGGTTTGAATGAAAATGTCCCCCATAGGCTCCAAGTACTTGGACATTTTGTCCCCAGATGATGGTGCTGTTTTGAGAGGTCTTAGATGGTGTGGCCATCCTGGAGGAAACATGTCATTGGGGGTGGGCTTGGAGAGTTCTTAAGCCTTGCTAGATCTCCAGTTGCTCTCTTGTTTCCTGTGCCTGCTGGAAGATGTAGAGCTTAGCTCCTGCTCCTCCTCCAGCCACCTTTGCCACCATGTCTCCTTGCCAAGATGGACTATAATTCCCCTGGAACCATACGCTCAAATAAACTCTTCCTTCTATAAATTGCTTTGGTCAGTGTTTCTGTCACAGTAACAGAAAAGTAACTAATATAGCAGGCCAACAGTGGGAAGACACAGGCCCCCTGTGTGCCCACAGTTGGGTGTGCCACGTGGAAGAGCCCATCCCTGCTCAGTTGTGTGCATGTGAATGCATGCATGTTGGCCCCGAGGCCTGTGCTTTTCCTGCTTCCTGGTTGTTTGATTTTTATTGTAAATGTGCTTAATGCATTTCAATATGAAATTAAGATTGTTTATGAGCTAGTGTAGTACATGAGGAAGACAAGAATGAGGTAAATGGACTCATGCAACATCTTAGCTGGGGCTTGAAAAATCCTCAAGAGATGGCAGAGGGAGAGAAGGTGACTCAGAACTGACACACAGCATAGAAATCCCACCGAGAGACCATGCTAACAGGTGTCTTAGCATCAGCTCACCCCAAGCATTTCATCAGAGAATGGGCCATTTGACGAAATGGCCACCAAAGTTCTCTCTCAGAATATACATCTTCCCTGAACTGTGACTCCCATGATTATAAATGACAAACTGTATACCGGGGATGCTTTGGAGGAAAGAATGTTGGACAGGCAGCTAGGGAATCATGTACTCCACCTCTGTCCTTTAGGAATGGCTTAACCTTGAATGTGTCTTTAAATGTATGAATACCCCGCCCCCTTAGATCTAAAAAATTAGAGTAGGAGGAAATTTCCTGAACCATTTTGCTGTGGTAGACTGTCCCTAAGCTCCATTCAATGTGTGAGGTCAGAGGCTATGCCTTATGACTCCAGGTGGACCCACTGTGTGTCCTGGCCGCCTTCATCTCTGCTGGGGAGACCCATCCCACCTACTGTGTGAGCAGTCTCCCCACCTTTCCCACTCTTCCCAGCCTTCTTTTCCATCCTAGTGTTTTGTACACAGAAGGTGTTCCGTGCCTTTTTGTTGTGTTTGGGTTTTACAAACTCTTTGGAAGATGTTTTTCCATGTTGGTGAATTTCTGTGTAATGTTAATGAATTGCTTAGCTTAGTAGTAGGCATCACAGTCTAGCTACTTCTGCAGCTGATACTTTCAATGACATTTTTTTCCTGAAAGATATTTCCATCAAGCTAACATTTTATTTTTCAATGCTTTCTTTTCAGGGGTCTTGCCCCCCAGAATAAACCAGAATTGCAGAAGGTGATGGAAAAGAGAAAACGAGACCAAGTAATAAAGCGGAAGGAAGAGGAAGCACAAAAGAAGAAATCTGACCTGGAAATAGAGCTGTTAAAACGGCAGCAGAAGTTGGAGCAGGTAAGAGGACTGGGTGAGAGCAGTCTTCAGTTCGGAGACGCAAAGGCGCAGGGCAAGCAGTCCAGGTGGGTCATACCCATGTGTATACCCGGAGAGGGCAGTAAGCAAAAGGCATACATCACGTTTAAGGCAGAGACTAGAATTCTGTTAAGGACCTAAAATAGACGCTAGAGACAAAACAAATATGAGGCGCTGGGAAAATGACTCAGTGGATGAAATGCTTGTGGTACAATTGTGAGGACTGGAATTCAGATCCCCAGAATCCATATAAATACTGGGTGCAAGTAGCAGCCCACCTATAATTCCATTGCTTGGGAATTGAGGACAAGGGATCCCCAGAGCAAGAAAGCTAGCTAGCTAGCCATATTGGGGGACTCTGGGTTCAACTGGGAGATGCTGACTCAAAAAAATAAGGTAGGGAGTGACTAAGGAAGACTTGTGAGGTCAACATCAGGCTTTCACTTACACATACGCACACACAGACATGCATGAAAACAAATCAGAGAAATATCACCGTGTTCACAGAATGTTGCAGTCACTTAATGCTTTTCATTCAGCCTTCATAACAAAGACTCCAGAGCAACACTGTGCTGTACCTAGGATGTTTTCCATTCTTGTCCTCTCTGGGTATGGTTTGTGGTGACAATCAAAGGGCCCCTGCTTCTTTGTAGCTTCCTAAACCTTTATATATATATATATATATATATATATATATATA